TGAAAACCGGTGGAAACCAATAAACCATAAACATTTTCGTACTTTCTTACAGTAGAAACTAAATTTATACGGTATTTTTTGTGATGAGATATCACGGCCGTCGAGTTGTCGGATCTTCGACCAGTACTTGTATTTACACTGATTGCCATAATATTATTTCTGCTATGACATCAGCTCGAAGGCTCAATGAAGTCTGCTGTTCAGTTAGATATATTCAACCAAGATTTCAGATTCACCACAACCGAATTCATTTTCAGTTAGCCCTTATCGTAATCCAGTCTACTCACTTTCAGCTCTGGCATTTTCTCCACTTCCTCAAATGTTAATGTTGTAATTGCCGGTCGATTCCCCTGCATATTCGTCGGCACTTTGTGTGGATTTAGTGCATAGAACCGTTTGTAGAGCCGGATGATGTCCTTTCTCGTGAAGAATGTGCAGTCCTGGAAGGAGAAACAAAATCGTGTCAAGTTTTCTTCTCTTTGATTTATGACTCTGCCACACTTCGCACCCCACTCCGAATCTTTTTTTGGTAGACGAGAAGGGAATGGGGATGGCTCTTTGGGAGGAGAATATAAACGCTTTCAACGAGGTTCTTATCTTGATTTTAAAGGGAGTCGAGAGATGGGAAAGAAAAGTGCAAATGGCAGATGTTTGGACTATTAGGAAATGAGAGAAAATGAAGAAGAGTGGAGGTTTTGAAATCTTTTTTAAATTAGTGAAAGGAGGTGGATGCTAAAAGCTAGGCCCTGAACACAATGGATCCGAGGATAATGGTTTTTTGATGCTGACTGCAATCCAAAGTGCAGGCCAGATTTTACGATAGTTCAGTTTTCAGGATTTTTGCTTTTGTAAGGTTTCAAAATCGAATTCATTGGAACTCTGAGAATCCAGAAGATTTTCAGTCCCCATTTTTTTCTCTTAAATTTTGATCTCCGCCTAAATTCAGGTGAAGCCTAGACGGTGGGTCTCGCCCCGTCACTTCTTACTGTACTAATTGATTAGTTTGATACTGTCAGACGTTTTGAGGTGCGCTGCGAGACCCGGATTCTTCAGTTCCGGTCAAATTTTTTGTTGAAAAGGTTATTTTAAAAATTGTTTTAGTTTTTAAAACTTGAATAATTTTTTAGAAATTCAATTCGTCGTTTTCTGAGTTTTCAAGCACCGATTTTTGAAAAATTTTCTACCAAACTTAAATTTCTTGAAAGCTATTTTTCTAGACAAGTCATCGAATTCCCGGAACCCGAAATCTTCAATTTTTGATACGCAATTTTTTGATCTACGCATTTTTTTTCCGAATTCCCATTTTTCTGTTTTCCATATTTATTGAAATTCGTAATGAGCCCACGTTTTCAGAGCCAATTTTTTCTCCAAAATTAATGTTTCAAAAATAAAAAGTCTAACCTGATACTCATCCAACTGCTCTCTCGTGAACACTCCACCCTTCGAAAACAGGTTCAATTCGGACAACGAGCTGGCGTTGTTGCCCATTTGTTCTGAAAACTTTAACATAGGGATTTAGGAAGAAAAGTGCAAAAAAAGAAAAAGTGTCATAAATAAAGTGAGCCACCATTTCACCAATTTCTTCGTCTTTATTCCTCCCCCGAAACGCCACACAGGGGCCCCACGGAAATCGAGGAGGAAATGAGAATGGGTTTTGTGGGGTGGGCAGAGCAGACACGAAATCAACCGTGGCCCGGGGTGGTGGATAGTGTTGAAAACGGGGAGAAGCTCGAGACAGAAATGGTGTAACATTAGACGGGGTGTGGGGAAACGGCGGGGACCACGGGGGAGACGAAGAAAAAGAATAGAGGCGGCGGGAGGAAGGGAGGAATGGGATGGGAGGAGGATGGGACCAAGAAATGGGAGAAGCCTTTTCAGAAAAGAGAGAGAAGAGGGAGAAGACACGGGAAAACATATGTATAGACAGGTATGAGATGGGTCCCTGAGAATCTATTTGTTTAGTGGAAACTGATCTGGAAAGTGATGATGGTGAGGATGCAAATGTGCTCTGTGGATAAAGCCCTCTTATAGAAGGGCATTCTACTTTATCCTTTCGTTGGATACACTCTATCAAAGACACTCTGAGAGAAAGAAAGAGAAAGAGAGAGAAGACCCAATAATCTCTATGCCCTCCACCCTTCTTGTCGAGTGATGACGTGTGGCGCAGCGGTTAGCGCGGTTGTTTTTGAATTTTTCAACCCGAGTTCGAACTCCACAGTGGCAAAATCTTTTTTTCTTTTTTTTAGCGAGCTGAGTTCCAAAGACCAATATAGCCGGAAATGTACTAGTCTTGATTGAAAAGTCGCATTCGTTTCATTCCGCTTGAATGACTTCCCCCTCCACTTTCCAAAGGTTTTATTCGAATTGAAACCCTTCCGGAAAAACCAGTCAACCATATATTTTGCTCATAAAATCTCAAAAATGCAACATTTCTTTATTCAGGTAACTTATATCACTTGACAATATTACTCCTGGCAATAGTATTTGCATCCAATCTCCTTGATACTAAGGGCGTACGGCAACATTTGCGGGTAGGATCTTGTGAGGTCGGCAGCGTTGAGAAGTCCATTACAGGCAGATTTGGCTTCTCCCAGATTACCGCAACCTTCGGCGAGAAGATTTTTGGCTTCGTCCCAAGTCTCTGGGAATTTGATAAATGGTTTGCATATGATGCAGGCGTCATATCCCTGGGCATCAGTTCCAGTCTGCAAGAAAAATGGGATAGAGGGGTCCTCTAAGGCACAGTGTGGGACAAACATGGTCTTAAGGCGGAAATTTCTAATCAGCAAAAGATACATAGTTCGCGGCGCTGCCGCGCTGCGCTCTGAGAATTTCGTCAGGAAATTATCGGCAAGCTGCCGTGCAAATTCATCAGCTTGCCACTGACAGGCAGTGCTCGGCAAGCAACAAGTTGCTGTTGCGGCAAACTGCCTGATTTCTGGCAAGTTGCCGTTGTCTGCGAGTGATTTCTCGGTTTTGTTGCCAATTTGCCGAAATGCGGCAAATTGTCGCTGACGAGCGGCAAGCTTGAGTTGGGCATTAACTTCGCACTCCAGCCTTTTTGGGAGCGTCTAACATGCCCTAGTGCATGCTTCTTTAAGGTAAATCAGGCTCTAAACACATCGGACTTACCATGAAGACGGCGACGAGAAGGCACATGACGATGAAGAACTTCATGGTTGACGAGAAGACAGCTCACAAGAAGAATGTGAATGGTGAAGGAGACTGTTTCAGAGATTTTATAGCCAAAGGGTTTATAGCCAAAGGGAGGATGGGAACGGCGGAGGTTTCCCATCTTTTGCAAGATGCCGACAATGGGAACCGGGAGGGGGCGATCGAATTGTGCTGATTTGCAGAACGGAGAGTTTTTAGTATGGGAATGGGAAACTCAATTGTCGTGAGGTGTGGTGTTGGGTCTGCAAATACCTGAACTGACAGTACTATGTCAGATTACAGACAAGTGGAAGCCAAACAAGCTTACTGGGATAGCACTGGAAAACTGGAAAACACTGCAAAAACACTGCACGATATCTTACAACAAATCGTTTTTTTCTCTTTTTAAATCTTCATTTCCAATAATCACCAATCAATATTTTTTACAATATTTCCCACAAACAATATCTTTCAAGTTCACAATATGTGGGTACATGTTCGGATACGAGGATGTCAAATCCGCATTATCCACTATCTGATGGCATTCTCCTTTGGCTACTCCTAGTCTTGAACATGCAGCTTTGGCCAGTAGAGCAGCATCTTCCCAAGTGGTCGGAACGGTAATAAAAGTACAGAGGCGACAGGCGTCAAATGAGAGGGATGGCTGGAAATGAGCTTTGAGGTTATTTGGGGTTTGATTGGAATTACCTTGAAGAAAAAAATCAGTAAAATAGCAAGGAGAAATTTCATGATTGAAATGGTAAAAAGGACAGGAACTTTTCCTTTTTAAGGGAGGGGGGCTTGGAAGGAATGTGTGGGTTGGAAAAAGAATTCAGAAGAGCACAATAGAAGAAATGGTGAATCATTTGAACATTGTTCCCGAGAAAGTGTCACATGCCATCGAAATTGTGATCTTTAGAAGTGCATTTTTGATGAAAAGCGGAAAAACTCCTTTGAAGGAATTCAACGTGGAATGTCCGTGATGTGTCGTGACAGTACTAGTTTTGGTGTTTGCAGACCCAGCACCATGTCTCACGACAATTCAGAATGCACAAAAAAAAGAAAAAAAGATTTGGCCCTGGTGGGGTTCGAACCCGGGATGAAAGTTTCTAAAACAACAGCGCTATCTGCTAGACCGCAGGGGCGAAAACACGTAGACGGAAAGAGGACGATCACTATGATCCGGGCTATGATAACTTATCGAAAGCAGCGCAGGCGGTGCGAAGTGCTTAAACTGAAAAAAATTTGAAATTAGACTTCTTAAAGTATTAAAATATCTACAACACTCGGTCAAAAAAATGGGCTTGATGGAGGACAAACAGACAGACAGATAGACAGGTATTGAAGTAAAAAATACTGCATTTTTGAAAAACAGACCCACATTTTCGAAAAACAAAATGTAGATCAAAAAGTGTTCCATGCAAACACTCCTTCCCGCCTTTGTCTATAGATCATTCATTCATTATTATTGTTACACCTCCCTCTCGCCTTTCCTCTTCCTCCTTTCTTTTTTCACGCTTCCCCTCCCTTCGTTTATTGATTTTCTCATATTCAAATTATCCCGTTTTCTACAGATTCAAAATGTCCACTAACCCTCTACTAATCGTCGTCAAACGTCTCATCACTCAACTGATTATTCTCTCCGTCGCCACCGTCATTTTCGTCTTTTATCTGATTTTTGGAACGACGGAAAATGAGGAGGAGAATGAGAAGAATAAAGAAGACACTGTTGCTTTGAGCAATGTGAATAATGCACCCGAATCGTGAGTTATTTTATTCGTTTCGTCTCGAGTAGATTTCCAAAAGACGCATTGATATCAACGCCCTCTTCACTTGTTTTCATTTGTTGCCGCGTGGCGCAGCGGATAGCGCTGCTGTTTTTGAAATTTTCAGCCCGAGTTCGAACCCAGTTGGGGTCAAATATTTTTTCCTTTTTTTCAGACATCAACTGGTTCAATATCAGCCATACAAAGTCAATCTCGTCGGTTTTCCCAAATTGATTCAATTCTCCATCGATTTGAGGGATGTGTTGAAGTTGAAAAGTGTCCAAATCGATTCGAACTTTGAGCCTTATAATCAACCAGAAGATTCGGAAAGGAAAGAAGAAAAAAAGAAAGGATACTCAATGATAATTTCACTTCAAGAGAATCTTCTAATTCAACGAATGAATACAGTTGGCGAGTGAAATCTGTGTTAATAGGAAATGATTTTTTAAAATTTTTTGTAATTTTTGAAAAACGAACTTCTCTGTAATAAATGTTTTATTTGATACAAAAATTGTTGCTTAGCACTTGAAACTCTTCTTATCATAAGTGCCATTTGCCTTCATCTGCATCTCTCTGAACTGTGGAAACTTCTCCGAAAGCCATTTCGCATCAGGAATTTTCCCAGTATTCTTGATTTTTATCATTTCTCTGGTGCAGAGAATAGCACCAAAATCGAAATCTTCTTTCACTTTGTTCACTGAAAAATATTTTTTTAAATATACAGTACCGTGCAAAAGTATCCAAAGACCCTCGTTTTTCATTTGATTTTTGCTGATTTAGTCCTACTTTGAGCAAGCGCCACACGGTCAAAAATTTTTCTACGGCTCAAAAAAATTGTTGAGCGTAATAAGCATAGCTAGAACATCATTTTTGTAGTTCACAACTTTTTCGTGCAATCACTCGCCCGGGAGATACAGCTTTTCCAAAACACCTACCTCAGCCGCCCGATGATTTCGAGGGTCTTTGAGGGAACGAGCTGTATCTCCCGAGTGAGTGGTTGCACGAAAAATTTGTCAACTACAAATCTGAAAGTCTAGCTATGCTTGATACGCACAAAAATTTTTAGAGCCGTAGAAAGATTTTTGACCGTTTGGCGCATGCTCAAAGTCGGCTAATCTCAACTGAAAAACGGGGATGTTCGTATAAATATGGCCGGTAATGTATATGAATACTTCGAGGTTTAATAAGGGTCGTACCTGAAACATATAAACTTTCAGAGAAGTCTTTCAAATCCTCCACCCCGAAAACGCATATCGAATGTCGCAGCCATTTGGATTTGCAGTCTGGATAGTAGCCGTCAGATTGCTCCAAGTGCCAATATGTCAGCCTGGAAACTCAATATGATAGAGCAACTAGGTTCGATAACCTTGTCAGTTCATCCGTCAACTCCTCCGTACAATTTGATTCCATTTGTCCTTCTAATCCCAAATAATTCTGATAGAGTGTCATGAACATCATCTCATCTACTCCGAATTTCTAAAGCTTTTACCAAATTTTGCTTCTTTTTTTTTCAACAAAAAAGACTCACACTTTGGTCATCAAACCTCTCTATGACCCTCTCCATATTGAGATTTTCAAATAAAGATTTCACGAAAACCTTCGATAAAATCACTTGATTCAAGCTCTTCCTGATCTCTAGTTTCCTATGGAGAATTTCCTCTGGGACATTTTTCTCTAAAACATCTTAATTATTAATTATGAGTTGCTTGTAATGCTCACCATCCTTGAAGAGTTTCATTCCAGCTGGCGTCCAATCCGCAGAGGAATCATATCTATCCGGAAAGCCATAGTCTGTCCCCATTACACTAGTAGAGTTCAGGAGTTCGCTGAGGTCGGAAAGCTGCTCAGGTGTTTTGATGATCATGTCAAAGTTCTGAAAGTTGAGTATGGGCGGTGAAGATAAGGAGAAGGGTTAGTTACAGACTCCAGACCCTCAGGCTACAGTGAGAGCTGGAAATTTCAGAATCCACTCACAGAAACATCTACTTTCAGACCACCAACTTATAGAAAATTCCTAACCCATGTGAGAAAAATTCCATTGTGAAATCTACATCTTATTATGTCCGTGAGCCCACCATATTGAAGCAAGTCATTGCAGGGCGCCGAAAGTGTTTTCCCAATATCAAACTGACAATTTTTGACCTGCTACAGGCCCATCTCATTAAAACTAAACCATACCTACCTGTAACGTAATTGCATGACTCCAATTCTTCTCCAACAGCACATTCAAACAATCAAAATGCGCTTTATCCTGCTTATGACCAGCTCTATCGAAGTCATATCCCGTCTCCAAAACATATACATTATCAAAACATCCTGCCAATGTCATCATTGATCTTCTCAATTTTTCACTACTCTTCGAATCAATTGCATAACAAAAAAAGTGATCAGGATGCCATGTCATTGACATAAAAACCTCTTGTAACTCATACATTCCATAGATATTCCGTACGAATGCAATAGGGTTTTTCAATGGTTGAAAGGGTGGAAGATCGCCAATAAGACGGTCCTTGACTGATTTACAGTCCATTGGGAGGTCCAGTAGTTTTTCAGAGTGCAGCTTCATTCTCCCATAGTTCACATAAGTTTCTATTTCTTCTTTATTTCCATTCATAAAGGCAGGACAGTTGAGGAACTGACTTTCTTCTCTGGAATAAGGTTAGATCTGAAAATACAACCTTGTAGACTCACATCAAAAAATAATTGTCTTGAAATTTTGTGACATTTCTCTTAGAGACCCGTTGATCCTTTGAAAATGACGGTGATGGATAATTAGCCTTATCTCTAGATGATGATCTCTGGAAAAACCAAAAGTAATCGGCAGTCGGGGAAAACTGGCAGATACTCAAGTGCTAGGGGGTGATCAAGTGCTATTTTGGCTCTTGTGCTATGGATCAAGTGCTATTGCACCTTTTTTTACCCTGGGGCTATGAATATTATTTCGCCAGCCAAACTCACCAAACTACTACTGGAATAACATACAAAAAACACTGAGAACCATACAAGAAGCAATAGTAAAACGCATCGTGTTTTGTTCGGAAAATTTAATTCCTCAGTTACCTAAAACTTCAATTTCTGAAATTTTCAAAAGGTGGAACCCACGTCATCCAATCTATAGTACTTGATATTTCTCATGTTTCAAAAGAGAAAAAAAGTGGGAAAAAGAAATGTATATCCATTGAATGGACATGTAGTCCTTTGTGAGTTTATGCAATTTTGGTTACTTTTTTGAAGCAAAATGAAAACTTGTTCATAGCTTTTATTGAGAGCACACGAATGGGATGGACTCCAGCCAGTTTAATATATCGTTCAAACTGTTTCGAAACGACCTAAATTGAAACATCAAGCATGGTATCTTGCATCAAGCATGCAAGCATGCAAGCAAGCATGCAAGCAAGCATGCAATGCAAGGTATCTTGCATCAAACCAACCCACATGAGATTACTGTAGATTAAAACAGAGACACGGTAACATCAAGCATGGTATCTTGTAGAATTTGGAGTTTCCGGTTCCAACAATCTGATTACTGTAAAAAGGATGCTCAGAACTTGAAATTATCTTTATCATAGGTCCCGTTTACTGTGAAAACCTTTCCGAAAGCAATTTTGTATCAGGAATTTTAGAAGTTTTCTTCTTTTTCTCATCATCCGCATGGGGCAGAGGATAGCAACAAAACTGGGCTCCGCGTCACTTGGCAACTTACCAATTCGTAACTGTGACAAATCTCAATTTGACATTTCGCAACTGACTTCGGTACGTAGAATGAACTTGTAATCCAACAAAAATATATTTTTGAAAAAACTTCCAAGTCTCATCTGACGATCTTAATTTTCACGTTTATCTTAATTCTGGTGTGAGCCTTCCCTTCTACGTCGTTTCGTACTAGTTGCGGAATGTCAAGTTGCGAAACGTTGTAGTTGTGAATTGACCTGATGCAAAATGACGCGGATCTCAAAACTAAGATCTTTTCTCAATTCATTTTTTGAAAACCATTTCTCCAAATTACTCCTGAAAACTGTTTCTGAACGTCCATTGGGAAGTTATTAAGGAAGGGTATCTGGTATACAGTTGGGCCCTGACCTATGTTATCTGGGCTTCCATCAACCTCTCTCTCTCTCTCTCTTCTCCGCTCTCATAAACGACTGTTTGCCCGTCCTACACGGTCCCTTTTCCTCATTCAACAACTACTACGCGCTCAATAGTTATTGATTTTCGACAGACGGTTTTCCTTTGTTGTTGCTCCCCATTTTTGGATTCTCACCATGCACGGCCTCCCCAAAGAGAAGTAAAAAGTAGTTTCCCCCCAAGAAGGAGAAGATGTTCGGCTCCGCGTCACTTCGCAACTTGCCAATTCGCAACTACGACGTTCCGCAAGTAACGTCGGTTTCGCAACTGCGATATATCGCAACACGTCATCTCGCAACAATGCCCATGGAAGAATTCTCATTAGTTTTCCAAAACAAAGTCTCAATTAATTCCAAACCCAACTTTTCGGATTTGCCACTAGAATTGGTCGGCAAAATTGTGAAGGAGGCTGATTTGCCGAGCAGGTAACCATGAGATTTCTGAACTTTTGATCCTAAATTCTAGATTATTTCAGACTTGTGCTCCGGAAAGTGTCCAAATACTTAAGAGAGTTGGTGGATAAGCAGAAGCCAAGATACAAAAATATTGGCATTGAGATCAATTCGAAAGGCATTCAACTGGATTTGGAAGGAGTTTTAATCAATTACGGGATTAATGATAACATCTGCACAATTGGAATACCTGGATATAAACCCAAAAAGAGGTACAGGAATTACATGTATGTGATGTTTGACGATCTAATGACTTTCATGTCAAATCCATCATTCTATGTGGAAAACTTGAGACTCACTTTTACGGATGAACGATCATACCAAAAGTTTGTAACTATGTATCCAAAACGTTTTCCATCTTCCAAAATTGAAGTGCATTCTCTCTTCATAAATCAAAATGCGAATGGAAATTTCAAGACAGCTACAAATTTCATCGACCGTAGCAAACTTCATAAAATCGAGCGTCATTGGTTAGAAGAGGAAGATAGTTGGCAGTGTCGAGAATGCAAGGAAGTATTGGTTCGGGATGGGGACAACTTTGTTGGTGAAGAGTCGTACTTTACTATTTGGGAAAAC